CTGAGCTCTGCCCTGGGGCTCCTCTGCTCCAGCTGCACCAGCCAAGTGCCCTCAGCTGCTCCTCCAGACCCTTCCCCATCCCTGTGTCCCTCCTCTGGACACTCTCCAACAGCTTTCCACGTTTCCCATGTACACATGTGAACTCCCACACACCTTTGGAATGACTGCAGAGGTCCCACCATAGGCTGCACCACAGGTCATCGATCTGTAAATCGTGTGGGCTTTGTCTTGTTCCCTCTTCCCACGGCGCCTGGCACACACAAAGCACCAGACAAACAACAGCATTGCCATGGAAATGCTCCCAGCCGGTGCACAGATCGCTGGAATTCGCCGGAGGAGCCGCTGACGGATCCTTGTGCTGGAACCCAGGTAAGAGACAACGTGGCACTGGGAGCAGGGGGATGATGGGGTGGGGGTGTGTGGGTGCAGGGCCAGCAAAGCCACCCCTGGGTGTGAAACGTGCCCGGTGTGAGCGGTGACAACGTGGTGACACCGAGGGGACACTGCTCCTCCATCTGTGCCAGTCCCACATGCCCCGGGAGCGCTGCCCGGGCTGCCAGGAGCTGTGGCAGCTGGCACTGCTGCCCACAGAGGTGAGAGCAGGCAGGATGTGCTCTCACCGGGCTCATTTTGCACCGGAGGAGGATGTTGGCCACCGAGCACGGGTGGCTGGTGGTGCCAGTGGCAACGTGCCAAGGTTGTCAGCTGCCAGCACCGGAGGGGAAGCGGCTGTGGAAAGTGTAATGATGGGCACTGCTGCCCTAGGAACGTGAGGGAGGTGTTGGGCACCTTCTATCTCATCATCTCTCCGTGAGAACTCGGGAACGTGGCACGTTGGGGAAGCGTCAGCTGCGAGGAGGGAATGCTGAGAATCACTGATTGTCTCGGAGCCCCCGCACGGCTCGGAGCTGGGAGGGAACTCGGCAGCTCCCACTGCTCCAAAGCCAGGCAGGGAGCTGCTGCTGCTGCTGCTGTTGTGCCCCGAGTTCTTCTGCTGAGAATAGCACAGGTTGTTCTGCCTCGCAGACTTGTAACATCTTATTACCCAACACAGACAGTTCCACATCCCATGGAGCAATGACACAGTTCACTGTTTCACTTTTTGTATCTAATTTCACCAAGGGAAATGGGGATTGCTAGAATATTGTAATTTTTTTTTCTGGTGTATCAGCATTCATAACTTCTCTGCAAGGGGCTCTTTGACTTCCCCCTTCCCCGTGACCGTCCCGTGTTCGTTGCAGATTGTTTTCCACACACATTTTCTGTAGGGGTTGTTCTGTGACTTAACCTAATCCCAGCTCCTGGACATAAATTCTCACGTTTTTTTCTGACACAATATTCAGTTCTGAAAGCAAAGGTCTGTTCTGATTCCCCCTCATTTTTGGGGTCGTTGTTCACTTAAAGAGTCGGACTCGATGATCCTTGTGGGTCCCTTCCAGCTCGAGAATATTCTGCAATTCTGTGACTATAATTGCAAATCCTGGTAAACGTGGCAGGTAGATTATCCTCCACTAAAAGAAGAGGTTTGAAGTGCTTCCCAGACACTTGTAGCTGCTGAAGCAAGTCTGAAAAATCTTTGTTCTGTTAGGATTCACTGTTAAGGATCATTGTGGCACCTCACGAAGACAGCCAGGGAATCACAGAACATCCTAAGTTGGAGGGGACCCAAAAGGACCATCCAGTCCAAGCCCAGGACACCCCAACAATCCCCCCCATCCCTGAGAGTGCTGAGGGAGGGTCCCCTTTCAATCCCACTTGCTGGTTACAACACGTGTGTGGACACACAGACACACGGACACGCCTGGCAGAGCCGGGCTTTGCTGCCAGGTCTGAGCCTGTCCTGACTTGTTGTGCTCAGTAACTCGGGCTCAACATCCTCCTGCTCCTCCCAGGCTCACTGGGCTGTCAAATTGTGTGTTAAATTACAGAACAGACCCAG